TCTAGGGTATAATAAGCTACCAACTCGCAGGCAATGTTTTTCAGTCTCGTCGCAGTCACTTTCATTGCGCAGACTTGTCAGAAAAAGCGGCCCAATAACAAACCAAGTGGCATCGGGTTAGAGCGGGGAAAATTGCGGGTGGAGGGGCGGGCGAGGTGGGTTAGCTGGGAAAGGGGCATTTATATTGAACACTGCGATAAACATATGAAAAATGCACATGCGGCTGGGCGCCAAGTTCGATTCCGCAGGCCAAAAGTTTACGCCACTTAATAGAACTTGACGCAAATTCAATTACAACGTGGCGCCCCAAACCCTTGCCACACACGCATACACACAGGCACACACACTCACACACACACATAGAATAAGCCAGAACTTGCCAAAGAAATTTGCGGAAAAACGTTGCCTTCGAGTTTTCTGTGGAAAACTTTTGCCCACCGGCGGCGGTTTTTTGTGTGATTTCTGTAAACGTTGTCACCGCTCCAGGGCTAGCCCTCAACCCGCCTTCCACTCCCCTCTCTCTCTCCCACTCCACTCTCTCTCTCTCTATCGCTCTCTCTCTCTTTCTCTATATCTATCTATTATGTCTCTTACTCTGTCTGTGTCTATGGCTCTTGGCCAGCATTGGAATTGCAAGTTTTCTGCTTGCGGCTGTTTACACTGCAGCATCTGCCCCCCCCCCTTGTCCCTTCCACTTGCCTCTGCCCTTTCGATCCGCTGCAATTAGCAAATAAAACTTGGCATATTTTAAGCGTCAATGAGGCGGCTGCCTGGGCAAAAACTTTTACAATCACTTTCATTTCGCTGCTTATTGGCCCAAAAGTATTGGCCAACTTCTTGACTAAGCTGCGTTCTTTTTAACTTAAGAGTGAAAAAAGTATTGCGTTTGGGTCTTCCCAATGTGACTTTCTGCTTATATTTTGTGGACATGGATCGGGCTGTGTGTACGTATGTGCTAAATGATTCAATAAATTTTCAATTAATTATGCAGTCTAAGCCTATTATAAACGGATGGAGTGTATACATTGCGGATCGCTGGGTCATAGTTCAAGCTGCAAAACCAAATCTTTATAATGTCCACAGATAAGATAAAGTTTTAAGATCAATTAATCCATATAATTTATATATTCTTTGGTTCTACATACTTTGAGATCTTTCTTATAGTTATACATTTTTTTTATACATTTTAATTAAAAACAAAATTATCTTCACATTTTTCCATTTTATTTATTTATCTAAAAATAATTAAAAAAACCACTTAACAATTATTCAATTTTATTTTAATTAAATTAAATTGAGTTACTGAATACCCTGATTAAACAGGGCTATTTCATTATACATTCAACATATAATTTTAAAAAATTATAATTTTTAAAGCAAACATAATTTTTATGATATAAAATTGTGATGCTCATAAAAAAATGTTTTACTTTGCTGTAAGTCTTTTAATTTTAACCATTTATGCAAATTTAATACGAAGAAAGTTTCTATTTAAAAAAAAATGTTTCTATATTGAAAAGAAAATGTAATTAATTAACCAACAATAAACTTATTTTAAAATAATTGAGTAATAAATTAATCAATTTGCAATGGTTGAGCCCCAATGACTGGTTATTGTCTTGGCTATTCAACAAGTGCTTCCCTACTCGCCAACAGGTGGCGCAAGCTTTAAGCCGTTAGAGGGCAATATCTGCGCTTCCATTGGCCGCAAGATGGCGGCACAAACAAAATTATGGAAGAATCCAAAAAATATCAACATTTAACATTATATTTAATAAAATAGAATTGCAAACTTATTATGTGCAAATATCTTCTTTTGATTTGAAGGATTTTAGAGCTTGACTTGGACCTAAGAAAATATATATGTGTATATGTTAAAAGTTGTTATCAATAAGAATCCCAAGCGTATTAGAGCTTCTTTTTACAGGCAAAAAGTAAACGATTTCTATATTTAATTATAAATTGCCTATGCAGCACGTTCCTCAGCTTGAGCTGAGCTGATGAAATCCATCCTCTTGAATGCCCCAGAAAATAGCTTAGCCCCTGAGATAAACAGCAGCACGCAGCAGTATTTGAAATATTCGGCACTTTTCGTTATTACAATTATTATAAATACGTGAGGTTGAGTGAATTGCAGGCCACATTATATTGAGAACATGCATTGGAATTGGATGCCGAGTTTGTTATTGGGACTGGCGCTGCTGCAACTACTGCTGTTTAGCGCCTGCGTGGAGGGGAGGCGGCGCAGAAGGGGGCAACAGGTGCAGCTGAAGCGGCAGAAAAATCACGAGGAGTCCCTCAAGTATCTGCAATACGAGACGACGGCGCTGCGTGCCAAGTTCGGGCTGAAGACGGTGAGCGCGCTGCAGATTGTGTCTGCCAGCAAAGGGAATGCGGAACTGCCGCTGGGAAATGCCTACAATACGGAATATTATGGCAGCATTCAGATCGGCAGCAGCCAGACCTTCAAGATATTGTTCGACACGGCCTCATCGAATCTGTGGGTGCCCTCGGTGCAGTGCCCCGCCGATAGCTGCCTGGATCTGCAGCGCTACGACTCCAGCCTGTCCAGCAGCTATGTGGCCAACGGCAGCGCCTTTGAGATACAGTACGCCACGCGCAACAATCAGGCCACCATTCTGAAGGGTTTCCTCTCCACGGACACCGTTGAGCTGGCGGGCCTGAGCATCAAGGGGCAAACGTTTGCGGAGATTACCTCGCTGCCCGCAAACGTCTTCAGTCGCTCCAACTTCGATGGCATCTTTGGACTGGGCTTTCAGCAGATCTCCATTGGGAATGTCAAGCCGCCCATGTACAATCTGATCGAGCAGGAGCTCATCTCGCAGCCGACGTTCTCGTTCTATCTCAATCGCAACAATACGGGCAGCATCGACTCCAATGGCGGCAAGCTGCTGCTGGGGCCCAGTGATCCGACTCTGTACAGCGGCTGCCTGACCTATGTGCCCCTCTCCCAGGTCGGCTACTGGCAGTTCACCGTCGCCAGCATTGTCCTCGGCAGCAGCAACAAGCTCTGCAGCAAGTGTGAGGCCATTGTCGATGTGGGCACCTCGCTAATTGTTGCTCCTCGCGCCGCACTTCAGAGCATCAATGCGCAGCTAAACCTGACCGAGGCGGACAAGCAGGATGGCGTCTATACGTTGCCCTGCTCCCGGGTGTCCACGCTGCCGAGCATCACCTTCAACATTGGTCGTCGCGATTTCGTGTTGCCCCCCGCCAGCTATGTGGTTCAGTATAAGGACGTGTGTGTTTCGGGCTTCACCAGCTTGGATGATGGCAGCACCGAGCTGACCGACGACCGTGGCACGGATTACGCTAACATTTGGGTTTTGGGCGAGGTGTTTATGGGCCCCTTCTATATGGAGTTCGACATGGAGTACAAACGCGTTGGCATAGCGCCTAAAATCTAGTATCGAGACATGCGACCGCATAGCTCAAACAATTTTCAGTACCGTTAAATCAGTTAAAAAAAATATATATTATCAAAATCTATACAGACATTCAAATATAATATATTATCTGAAGAAAAATACTTCTTAAAACATATTTTTAAGCCCTGAACCAGATCTCCAAAAGGTATATATATATTCTTGATCAGCATCAATTGCCGAGTCGATCTAGCCATGTCCGTCCGTCCGTCCGTCTGTCCGTCCATCTGTCCGTCCGTCTGTCCGTCCGTCTGTCCGTATGTATGAACGCGTCGATCTCCGAACCTGTGAGCTAGATACTGGAAATGACAATGCGACATTTCACGAAAATTAAATTACTCTTTTTCATGCAAATAGGAATATGAAATCGACCGGAAATTTATATAGGACTATTTGCATGGCATATTTATATTAATTTTTACACTGTATTTTATTTTATTACATAGATTACAAAGTTAATAAAACTATGTGCACTTCGAAGAAACTCCTCTCAACTGTCTGTAAGAATACAAAATTGAAAAATTATTGGAATTAAAACTACAGGAAAAAAAAATATACTGTAAATTTCCCATATATTTAACCATAGATTCCATTTAGATTCCAATTTCAATTTCCTTGGAAATCCTCAGCTTAATTTATGACAATTTGCCTATTTTTATAAATTTCACCCCATTATAGCTTACCTTGGCATTATCAGACCTTACCATATGCAATTATCAAATTTCTAAATAAATCAGATAATAATATTCGGTTAACATTGGTAAACAATTCGCATTGTTTACCTCTCAGCAACTGATGAGTAATAATGGGCTTACATTTGTTTAATTAATTTCAAGAACTCAAGATAGCTTCGTTGATAAATACCTGAGCTTAGCACGTGTAATTCTGGAGCACGTTAAGAGTGCGCAGTAGCTTAAGTTTTTTATTGAACAGCAATAACGCATGACAACACTGGAAAAAATTATGAGCTATCAATTAAATTAAAATAAATTAAAATATATTAAATTTAAATTTATAAAAAATACTTTTAAACTTAATAAACTGTTTAATTGCCATTTGCTAGGAAAGCTGATGCCGTCGTTAAAACGTTTACGAATACGTCGCCAAGCAAAATTAAAGTGCTCTTAAGGTGGCGTGACCTGAGAAATACCCCGCAATCGTCTAGAATTAACGCAATATTGGTAAGTTTGTGCATAAATATATTTTATATGATGATGAAACATCTTCCGTACGAGGATATTTTAAACAAAGCCAATTTGAACGTTTACGAATACGTCGCCAAGCAAAATTAAAGTGCTCTTAAGGTGGCACGACGTTGTCAATACCCTGTAATGTGAATTTGCGCTTTTATATTTAATTTGTAATGCATATAGGCATATATAGATGAAACATATGTATATGGATAGTTTTTTAAGACTCCAATTGAAACGTTTACGAATGCGAATGCAAAATTGAAAAGTGTTTTAAAGTAGACGCGGTGTGTTAAAGAGACCGTAATTTCAGATTATCGCTTCAGTGGAAATTTCTAATGCTAAGATGAAACATCTTCGACAGTTTGCAGCTATTCATTCCGACACTTTATTTATAATCATGTAGAAATTACTTGTAAAAATGATTACATTGCATTCTTAGTCCTTTTGAGTTATATTCTCAGTGCGTGTGAGAACAATATTTCGATCGGTCTGGGGACTGACACTTGGCAACTTCAGTCCAGCCTCTCCATTCTTGAAGTGCTGACGCTCCACCAACATTTGTTTGTCGTTTATCAGCGTCTGCTGCTTCTTATCCAGATCATAGCTGATCTTTTTTGCATGTTCCGATAGCATTTGCAAATTGAACTTCGATTCATCCAGCTTGTTCTCCAGACAGCGACGAATCTCGCGCTGCTTTTCCACCTCCCGGGATAGCAGATAGTGTGCATTGTCCAGGCACAGTTCAGTTTTGCAGCGTTGGGAACGATTCTCCAGTCGCGTCTCGGCCAAACGTATATCATTCGCCATATCGCACACATCATTCTCCAGGGTCTGAATCTCGTACATTGCCGATTTTATCTCTTCGCGAAGCCTCATCTGCTGCCACTCTAGCTCGTTGGTCAACTGCTGAGTCTGAAAAACGCGAAGGCGTGTATAGGCATCGGTTCGCTCTTCCTGGCCATCCAGAAAGCGACGTGCCTTTAGGGTACACAAGTGCAGCGTCTCCCGCAGGGCAGCTGCATCGACCAGTTCGCCTTCCACCGCCTTCATTATATTTTGCGTATGCTCCAGCCAAAAACTATATGCACAGAAGCTGCAAATATTCGGAATATGAGAAAACATTATCAAACCTTCTGTTGCAGTCAGAATTCGAATTTCGATTTTTTACTATATCATTCATATTCCTTCAATGAACCAAATAGAATGCATAGCACCTTTAACAAACCCCCAATTTCTGTACTTACTCTCGGGAATTATGCGTACCCTCCGGTTTGTAGGATATTTGAGATGAATTGCGTTCTAGCGACCTTTGTGCACTGTCTATTTCTATGGTCTCCAGCTTGTTCTTGACTTCTTGGTCAACCTTGAAGCGAACCTCCTCGAGATGTTTAAGCTTCTCCCATGCCTTCTGGAGGAGCTCCGACAGCACACGCCGATTGTTTTTCAATAAGACCAGTTCATTTTTGATCTCAAGGCCTGTCTTATCGTAGGTCAGCTCAGATGCGAAGCGCTTGTCGCGCAGACTAAGCATTTCTTTTATCAACGCTATCTGGCCCGACTCTCGTTCCATCTCTTGCTCTGCCGCCGTTTTCACCCCCTGCAGCAAATGAACTTCGTTCTCCAGTCGCTCGGATGCCTTGGAAATGAGCTCACGCCAGCTTGACATCTCCAAAATGCTGCGCACAAATATCAAATCTCAGCGTACTGGCAATTGCAAAATCCTCGCTTAACTTACCGATCGTCCAGCGCTGTGTTCGTCTCGTAATTCGACCAGCGTCGCTCTATGCGCGTCTCATGGCGCAGCTTATGCGATGAATATCGCAAGCCGATGGCATCGGCACAGCGTGCACTGGCCACATTACGCAGACAACCAACTCGGCTATACCAGTCGGCCATCGAGAGTTTCAGAAACGGCTTTTCCTGTGTCGATATCGCATGGTAAGTCATTTTGAATTCGATTATTTTTTATTTATATATTATAATTGGTATTTTATTTATTTTTTCTGGGTTTTCTTTTTGCAATTTTTATATATTTTATATTTTTGTATATGTGTAGGTGTGTGTTCTTTGGTGTGTAGTGTTTTAATAACATTTAATTCGTTTTTTTCATTTTGTTACATTTGCTCTGTGTCCTGGCCTACTAGATCTCCGGATCTCTCTGCTGACAATGCGAAAACATTTTTATAAGCAAATTTATGAAATTGAATTTCTAGCCCCCGTAATAATGGTGATTTATTAAAAATGGACAATGCTGAAAACGGATATCGGTGAAAATCGTAAAGTAAAGATTAAAAAAAAACGGAAAATGAATGAAAATGAAAAATGAAATGAATGAATAAAAAATAAAAATAAAACCCGGAAATTCTTTCGAGCTTAGTTATACTAGAACATGCGTGTCTATCGGCCAACTAAGAGAAAAAATTCGGGAATTCTATCAAGAGTAGTTATCAAAAAAATGCGCGTGTAAGCGATTCACAACATCGAGCTGAAAATGAGTGAAAAATCGGATAGTTTATATGACAAATAAAAAGCCGCGAAATTCTTTTTTGCTTCGATATAAAAGAAAATGTGTGTCCAAGTGATTCCACCCAGACGAGCGGAAAATGTGTGAAAAATCGAATAGTTAAACTTATAGTTATAAAAGAAAATATATTTGGTGTTTTATAAATTAATTTTAGGTATGTCCCTTACACCTTTTTCTCTGCATGTACGCAAGCCCAGCTATGTATCAATCAATTCATTTATCAATTATGCCACAATTAACGATAAGTTTAAAACATTTTTATCGTACTGTGATCAATCCTAAACAGCTTTGGCCTTATCGCAGGCATATATAAAGCAGTGTCTGACCGCAGTGCCCGCCAAAGTAGCCCAGTCAAGGCTACCAAATACGTAGTTAAAAATTGCACAACCAAGTAAAATGTTCAAGTGTCTGCTGCTGCTGTTGGCCCTTGTGGCGCTGGTCAGCGCCGAGCTGCATCGCATACCCATACACAAGCACCAGCACAAGAGGACGCGCCAGCATCTGAAGTCGGCAACCCGCTGGCTGCACCAGAAATACCATCCGCAGCAGGAGCTATATGTGCCGGATTATGTGGCGCCCAACTATGATTATCCCAGCAGCGATGAGAGCAGCGAGAGCAGCGATGACTACACGATCGAGACGCTGTCCAACAACCAGAACATGGACTACTATGGTGTGATTGGCATTGGCACGCCGGCGCAGTACTTCAATGTGGTCTTCGATACGGGCTCCGCGAATCTGTGGGTGCCATCCGTGCAGTGCCTGCCCACCGATGTGGCCTGCCAGAATCACAATCAATACAATTCGAGCGCCTCCAGCACGTATGTGGCCAACGGCCAGAGCTTCTCCATACAGTATGGCACGGGCAGCCTGACCGGCTTCCTGTCCACCGATACGGTCACCATCAATGGCCTGAGCATTGCGAGCCAGACGTTTGGCGAGGCGATTTCCCAGGCAAATGGCAGCTTCACTGGTGTGCCATTCGATGGCATACTGGGCATGGGCTACAGCACCATTGCCGTGGATCAGGTGGTGCCGCCCTTCTACAATCTGTACGAACAGGGCCTGATCGATGAGCCCAGCTTTGGCTTCTATCTGGCACGCAATGGCTCCGCCCAGGACGGCGGCCAGCTGGTGCTCGGCGGCGTCGATTATCAGCTCTTCAGCGGCAATCTAACCTATGCCCCAGTCTCCCAGGAGGGCTACTGGCAATTTGTGGTGACCAGCGCCGTGATGAATGGCTTTGTTGTTTGCTCCAATTGCCAGGCAATTGCCGATACGGGCACCTCCCTGCTGGCCTGTCCCGGCAGCTCCTACACGCAGCTCAATCAGCTGATCGGTGGCTATCTTATCGACGGTGACTACTATGTGGACTGTTCCACGGTGGATTCTCTGCCCGTGCTTAGCTTCAACATTGGCGGCACCATCTTCAATCTGCCCGCCTCCGCGTACATAAGCAGCTTCACGGAGAACAACACCACCTTCTGCATGTCCAGCTTTACGTATATTAACACCGACTTTTGGATTCTAGGCGATGTCTTCATTGGCCAGTTCTACACACAGTTCGATTTCGGACAGAATCGCGTGGGCTTTGCACCTGTGGCTTAAGCTGCGAACGATTCTCGATCAAAACTCATTCTGCACTGAGTATCATAAATCAGTGAAATAAAATAAAAACGATCAAAATTAAACGATAAAAATTAGCGAAAAATGAACACAAAAAAAAACAACTGCAAACAGAAATCAAAAATAAAAAAAATTAAAATAAAAAATTTCTATTATTAAACTAAATTTGTTGTCTAATTTAATCAGCTAAAAGCAAAATAAAAATTGGCTCAAAATTGATATTCGATTAATATTGTTACACTCGCATTGAACCGAAGGGGTTCGAACCAAACCGAATCTAACCAAGTGGATCGAATGACAAACAAAAAGAAACAACTTTTCTTTCATTCTACTTCCGTGTGTTGGACTTAAAATATTCAATGTGACTTCAAGTTTTCATTCTTTAACAATGTAGAGCTAACAAAATAAGTTAAAACCGAAAATTCTATTTTCTCTTTTAACAACATTTAAAGCCCACTTTCACGCAGGAAGAGTGGATTTTGAGAAAAGTGTAAAAAAAGTCGCATATAAATTTTCTCAAAGAACTTTTAAAATGCAAGCTATATGGTCCGATGTTGATAGGATTTTGAAAAGTTTAATACGACCGTTTTCCGTGAATTTTCCACGCTTGCCAGTGAAATTTTTTAAATTTTTTTTTAAAAGAACATAGGGTAAAACTGTACAAATTACAGTTTTACGCTGATTACCAATTTATATACATAGAGGATAAAATTAATAAAAAATTTTACCCAGGACCTCGAACCAGCAAAGTAAATATTCATAAAGGAGAAATTTATTCTCTACCTTTCCATGGATCTTGCCATATGTAAACCATAATTAAATCAGATATATTTATATATTTTATTATCAGTCTGATGCCCATGAAACTTATATTAGGATCTGTAGAAGATCTTCTTAATTAGATTTCATCCAGTTATTATTTTATATATAGTTAGAGATCCATTTGAAAAATGTGCAAAAATATAAGAAAATTTTATATTAAGCCAAATGTTTGGTTTTATTTGAAATAAACAAATAGAGTTCTGTAAAAATATGTTCTAATCAGTTTGTAAAATTAATTTGTTGGCCGACAAGCAAAAAAAAATTGCAAAATAATCGAATGGAGCTTTGCCAGAGAAACTGGCGACAGTTGCATATTGTCAAAAATTTTGTAAAATAGTGTGTGTTTTTTTAAAATTATTTGTTGTCCGGCGTTGGCGGCTTGTTGCCAGCAGCCGAAAAGTTGCCGCCGTAGATGCCACGCGGAGTGCGCGGCATTTGTTGGGCCTGTTGCTGCTGCTGCTGTTGCTGCTGCAGCTGCGCCTGTTGCTGCTGCAATTGCTGTTGCTGCAACTGATGGTGCTGCAGCGCGCGTTGCTGCAGCATCGCCTCGTAGAGTATGGCGGCAGCTGCCGCATTGGATGACTGTTGCTGCTGCTGCTGTTGCTGCTGTTGTTGCTGCTGTTGCTGCTGCTGCTGCTGGTGCAACTGCTGGTGATGATGCTGTTGCTGCTGCTGTTGCTGGTGCTGCTGCAGCTGCTGCTGCTGATGATGCTGTGTGGCATTCTGACGCAAATTGGCGGCCAGCAGCTGGGCATAGACCTGGGTTATGTCATTGGCATTGCCCGAAGCCATGCCATAGATGGGCATGGACATGTTGTTCGAGGCGCCGGCAACCAAATGCTGCTGCTGCTGTGCCTGCTGCTGCGGCAGTTGCTGCTGCAGCAGCTGCAAATACAGCTGCGACAGTTCGTTAATGGAGGCGGCGCCCGGTGCTCCGGTCCCGCGACCGCTAAGATCGCTGCCTCCATGCGAGCCCTGCTGATGCGGCAGTCCCGGCAGCAGCTGGTTGTAGGCAGAGCTCTGGAAAAGACCATTTGGTATAAAGCTGTTAGCTTTGATAGCCAATGTATATTAACTTACGGCGCCAGAGCGTGTGCTGTGCCCAACGACTGTTGGCTGCTTGCGATCGTAGAGTGCCTTGGCTCCACGCTCGAAGCCGGGCGGCGGCGGCTGCTGCGACTTCTGTGCGCCACCCGCTGCATATGACTGGCTCTGCTGTAGAGCCTGGGCCGAGGGCTGCGTCTGCGGCTGATAATCGTCACCGGACAGCGCATAATGCTCGGCTGCCTTATGATAGCTAAAGCTGCCGTTCTCCGGGTGGCCGGTGGTGTCGCCATAGAGTGCATTCAGCACCTCATTCAGAAAGCCAGATGTGGCCGCTGCACTCGGCTCCATGAGGGACTCCGAATCGGGCGGCGGCGAATCATCAATGTGAACGGGCATGCCCAGCTGTGAATCGGTGATGTTGGGACGCCAGATCTTCTTGGCCAGCTGCTCATAGGCATTGGCTAAGGGAAGGGAAGTCGAAACTGATTTGGAAATGGATTTAATTTGATTTTGACAACTTACGTTCAGCGGCTCGTTTGGCACCGTGTGCATCCATTCGATTGTTCAAAATTTAAGGCACACTTTATTATAACACAAGCCTAAGCTGCAATTATAGCTCGAAAGACTCGATGCCACAAGTTGCGTTTTCGACTGAAGCTGAATTTGTGGCTTTCGAGTGCGTGCAGCGAGCGCTTGGCTTTGTTTATGACAATTGCTATTGTTTACGATATCGAATTAAGGAATTTCTTGTTATCGAATCAAACACATTGAATAGGCCTGATTTTTAATTATTTATTTACATTTTTTCCTTACTCTCAAATATTTGCCTGGTACTTAAAACGGAACAAGCGACGTGACATTCACATAGGTTTGACGAAAGAGAGGCGCATATCTGTGAATGTGTGCGAGAGATGGGCAGCACTGGCGCCTGTAAGCTTGGAAATTGCATATTTTCATAGTGGAATGACACCTGCCAGCTGGCTTGTTGCGCTCATAGTCCATGTGGACAAGAAAAAATAGTTCTGGTGCGTTGACTGAATGAGCGTGGCTATAAATTAAGATATATGTGTATTAAGTTTGTGGATATCGATTAAAAACTCTCAAAAGATTGATATATATATATATGTATATATAATTATCCACAACGTACATATGTATGTATATTCATTTTGCGATTTAGATATAAAAACGTTTAAAAAGTAAATAGGGTATTTTAGGTTTAAGCAATGCACAGTGCTTCCCATTGTACCTCAGAAAAGTAGCTAAATTCAATGTTGAAAAATAGCCAAAAATTGCTGAATAACTTTTTTGAATAACTGTATTGGATTTAAACTGGATTGCTTGTACTTGGAATTGGAATGAAAAAAGGTTATTAAATTTACAATTTCAATTGTTTCCAGCAGACTATCTTTGACTGTAGCCATATTTAGCCGGAAAAAAGCTAAACTGCCCAAACGTTTGCAATGTTTGTCTTTCCGTCCGTCCATGAATACAATCGTCAAATTATATGTATATGCAGGTGGGCGCGATAAGTCGGGGATATCCATGTATATATTTAAAGGGAACATATTCTAAAGGAGACTGATAATAAGCTTTCCCCCTGGGGACGTGGAAAATCTGATCTTCCTTCCAACATTATTGGAAAAAAGTAACAGCTACTTGATAGAAAACGTCACTTTTATAAATAACAATATGCGCTTTATTTCACAATTATAACAACATTTAAAAACAACAGCCGTCAAATAGAGTCAGGCCAGCGTTAATATTCCTCATTTTCAGAGCGTTTGTGGAGCTGCAGTGTCCGCATCAACCGCTTCCACAATAGCATAACAGAATCCGGCGCCAGTTCCGGCCAATTTTGCGTATCCAGGCAGCTTTATTAATGTTGGAACACATCTAAAAAATACAAATCAAAAGGTTTACAAGACGATCTATAGCAATACCTACGGTTTCTTCACTCATACAACTTTCTATAAATTATATTATATCCTATCAAATATTTTACCTCATTCTCAATTATAGATCCGAATAACAGGCATATTTGCATGTTTCTAATCATCTAAACTAACTCCATGTTCACTTGAATAGTTAAATTTGGTGATTAACACTTAAAAATACTTGCATTTCAGACAAACTTTGATTCATCCCATGTTCTAGTACTAAACTATGTCTTAAGCTTCAATACGATGGAGCCCTATACTTCAGACAATCAATTAAAGAAGTCCATCTAAATAAAAGCTTTCCGTGCTCTGCTATATTCACTTACAAATTCTCTGTGGTATTGTTGCCGCAATTGCCATGCTCATTCCAGCCCCATGTATAGATCTCGCCAGCTGTGGTGCGCAGCAATCCGTGCTCGGCGCCCATGTGTAGGCGTGCCGGCGTTCGTCCCTCCTCCAGTTGCAGCTTCAATGGGGTTGGCGTTGCCTTCTGCGCACTAAATTCGCCCGTTCCCAGCTGGCCATAGCAATTGCGTCCCCAGAGCAAAACGTCGTTGGTTTTCAGCAGGGCCGCATTGTGTGTCCAGCCAACGGCGAGCTGTCCCACATCCTCCTCGAACTGAAAGGCATTCGCCTGGCCGTACTTGTTGTCGCCTAGTGCCACGATGCGCCTGCTGCCGCCCGCTTCTATATTCACGCACTTCAGCAGCATGTGATTCTGTCCACTGATCAGTGTGACAATGCGCAGCTCATTGGGATTGTGCGCCTGTATTTTCATCACGTTGCAGCGATGCAACGTGGTTGAAGTTATGTCCAGTTCGATAGGCGCGGGATCCATAATGCGCAAACGGCCAAATATATATACTTTTCTATCCTGTGAGAGCACCGCGCAGAAGCGCAGGCCAAAGCTCAGGCGTTGCGCGGCCTCATCGCGGGGTAGACGCACTGGCATGGGCCGGCGCACTGACGTAAATCCTCGCTGACAAAGGCCCAGCTGCTGAAACGCATTGGAACCCCAGACAAACAGGCGCTTGGTCAGCGTAATGGCGCCTGAAATGTCCCAGCCGCAGCTGATAGACTCCACGGGCGCTTCCTGCGTGAAAGATGAATTGAAAGTGAATCAGCTGTTTGGTGATTAACGGCCGCTTACCTCGAAGTATTCGGTGGGTACCATGGCAAACTCATTGTGGCATTCCTCTGTTGAGTCGAGGCCCAGCTGGCCGCGATTGTTCCAGCCGCAGGCGTGCACCCGTCCATTTCTGTCCAAGATCAGCACATGACCACCTCCGCCGCGTATGCAGCGCACCAGCTGCGGTTGAAATGAGCACTTGGATAGGCGCTGCGGTACCATGCACAGCTCCGACTCGTAGCCAAGGCCAAGCTGACCGTGAGAATTGGCGCCCTGTGCGCAACCAAAGGAAATCGCTCATTAATTTGCATTGCAAATGACATTTGCTTAGGGTCGTCAAAGCTGGCGATGTCGCCGGCTCTCTTACCCAGGCATAGACATCGACATCCATTGCGACCACCAGTTGCGCCTGGTTTGGGCCAGACAGGGTCAGGGACGGTTGTGGCGGCGGCGGCGGCGGCGGCGATGCACTTCCGGTTTGTGTTTCACACGTTGATTTAATGCGCCGCAGTCACGCCAACAATGTTTTTGTCGCTGACTTAGACTCCTTTTGCCAACTGCAGCTGCTGCTCGTCCTCGCGCGTTGCTCTGCCCTGCGCTGCTCATGTAAAACTGAGCCTTTCGCTGCCGGCCAAATAACTTTTATATCGTTTCGGCGGATATTTTGTTTCGCGGCCGTTTTTATGGTCGTTTTCGCTATTGTCGTTTGCTTTAGCTCGACAAAGAGCTGCCAAATTACATGCTGGTCATGCGTGTTGGCTAAAACCTTGTTCTAATGGGTTTATTTCATAATTATTAGCGATCAAAACTATATTTAAATCAATTCTTATTTCTTTTTGTTAAGTAAATAATGTAAATATATTGCAGCGTTGCCAGTTTAACCAATTCCATTTGATTGTTTACAAAATGTGCGCATATGTGTTGCTCTGCTTGCCGGTTTATCAAGGTGGCAACATTAACGGCGCATACCTTTGCTCTTTTGGAATTAGTATGCTGTTCACACAAACTGAAAGCAGACCAACATAATTATGCGCAGTAGAAATAATTATACGTTCTACATTTTTTTTAGTTTAAATTTGATAGAAAATACTTTTAATAATTGCATTAAGCCTATATTATAACACACACATTTTTTCACCAAATTTGTTTTGTTTTCCTTAAGATATTGTTTTAGTTAAACGTATTTATAGCTGCATACTAGCAAATATTTTCAACTGCATACATTTTTTAATTTATTTTACAGTTACAGTTCGCGCATTTTGCTGTGATGAGTGCATAGTGAAGAAAATATGTTAAATCGACTTTTTTTTAAGTTAAAAATAATAAAAACACATAATCGGTGGCCATTAATTGTCATATTCGCCAGCGACTTCGTAAAGACAATAACAGCACATCATATTCACGCCAGCCAACGTGGAAAACAAATTGGCGCAAAAAGCCCGGTCAAGTATGTGTCAAGCAGCTTATCGACTGAAAAATACCCTACGAAAGGAAGAAAGGATTACGATTCGTAGGTTTTCTGCACTTGGTAAGTCGATTCAATTAATTACCAGCTATTGGACTTAAAAATTGTAAATGCAATCAAAAGTTTGCCTCCGACTGCGTTCGCTTGCGTGCGGCGACTTTACCGGGCTGGTGTAATGTGAAAATCATTAGTTTTTATTTGTGGCGTTTAGGGCGTATGCGAAACTGATGTTGGGCGCCTGTTTTGCATTGCAAATACAAATTCAAAGTGCATTTTTCACCTGAACCAGCGGCTACTTTTTGCCATAGGGTTGCATGTTAGCTGGACATTGCAGTATTTATTATGTCCCGTGGTTAGTGTTGGCTAGTGTTGCGCATTTGCTGGTGCCGTTAGTTCGCTGGCCATAATTAAAAACCAGTTGGCATACAATTTGAGATGGACATATTGGTTTAGATGAACAATTATTTGAAAAGCAATTTATCTATTAACGATCAATTCAAATAATTTGTTATATTTAAACACATGAACAAAGTATTTTTAATAATATTATTTTTAATCATGTCCATATTTTCATTCGAAATCTTAGGACAATCCTGCTCAATTTATTTCCATTTTCCATTTAAATTTATTTAGCATTCATATCAAAGTACGCAGGGAACTAAGAGTTTTTCTTAACTGTGGCTCATATTTCAGCGCGCCTAATGGTTTTTTCTCTAACCATCTCGTGTGTGCACACTTAGGGGCCAACTTGGTGGGAGTTCTCTTGTTTTCTAGCGACAATTAAAGCTTAATTAAAATTGCATGCACCTTAACCTTCGCCATGAACTTTGACAGTTTTAATTACAATAGGTTTATATGCGGTTCGCGTGTTGATGCCAGCGGAAGGCGGGTTTTATAATCGCTTTATAAAATCAAAGAAGACATTCAATTTGGGGAAATATATAATTTTAGTTATTTGCTAAATTGAAGATAACGTGACTAGTCGACATTGGTTTAATATTTTAGTTTAAAGTAAGGCGTGGTACTTCCCCTAATCTATCTTTTAATGGTGGGAGCTACATTTTTTTAACTCAGCTGTCTACCAATATTGAGTGATTTAAACATTGTTTTTATTCATTTTCAAATAGTTTACTAGGTTCGCATAATTTGAAAAAGAACTTTTTTAAATGTACCGCTTCATTTGATTACCAGTTCCGATTCCTTAACAGCTGTTCGGAACTGCGCATGCGATATCCGCAACGATAGTTAAGAAACGCTAAGAGTGTTTGCAAGTGGACGCACCAGTGTTGGCTAACAGCCGTAATATGCGCGCGTATTCAAATGTTATGCAGCTTTTGGAGATGTGTGTGATTGTG